TTTTGGATTGAGCTACACTGAAGGAAACATCACTGCATCAGGGCAGACAGGTGCCAGTCTCAAATCAACAAGTTATTTGTAGAGTGTTAGCTAATTTGAATAAGTATATTTGAATCTGACTGCACATAAATAGTTTTCAGAAGTCATATTGAAATTTAGTGCTCAGTGTTTCCCTGTAAACATTTTCTCTCCCCCCCCCCCCCGCAATAACTGGATAGAAAAAGTGTATTTGTCCTGAGAACTCTTTTGCAGACAACTGCCTAAATGGCAACATGTAGATCTGCTTGTTGTCTTTTCTATGTTCAGCTTTCTGTTATTCCAGAAGCTCCTCCCTTTCTGATGTATGCTGCTGAAACTGCCACCAACAGCACAGTCTGTGGTGATTTTATATGCTGGACACTGACCACCTAGATGGACTTCAGAGGTTAATGGTTTTAGCTCCTCAATACTGCAGAGCTGGGCTGGTTTTGAATTAGTGAATTGTTATCCCATGAACTAGCAGTTCCCAACTTTTGCTCCCAGGGAGCGCCTCTACATAGCTGCATGTGCCACTCTTAAAGCGGTATTGGGGTTTGCTGTGCAACCCTATTAGGGATCCTTTTTGGTTTCCAGAGGGGTTTTCAGCATTTAAAGAAACAAACAAACATGCGTAAGCTCCTTTTTTTAGTCCTGCATAGCTGCTCCATCATGTCTTCCTTTATCAGATATAAATTCAGCACAGGGTAGATTTACAGATAAACAGAGGTGTGAGAGACAGCAAACACATAGGAGGACAGAACAGTTCTGCAAGTGACATGGCGGGATTAGAGAGTAATGTGGATTATAGTCAGTGAAAACTGATTGTCGGAATGGATAGGAAGTCCTATACTATGGGAGAGGATGTAAATAAATAGCTGTACATGTTGCATACAAATTAGTGTATTTTCCTCTTGTCTCTTTACTTCTGTCCTACACCAGCAAAAGGTGTTTCTATTCCAGGAAGCATGAACCTGGAATAGAAAAGGCACCGTCTCAACAGAGAACCATGGGTAACACTGACCTTCTTTGTCAGTATTACAAGAGGTCAGACTTTCAAATGGATGAACTGATCTTGAAATGCCCTGCAGTAATGCACATAAACAGGCTTTTCTTCCCCTTCAACCTTGTATTTCTTCTCTTTTTGTTTCTATTTACTTATCTCCCTGGATAGACACCAGTATCACAATTAGCACTGAGAGTCTGATCCTGAACATGGGTAAATTTCCACTCCACTTGGAAGACCAGGCCTTTAGTGCTGATTGTGATACTGGCATCTATCCAGTGGGGCTACGTGTAGAGTGCAGACTTCTTTTGGAAGAAGCTTTTCCGGAAAGATCTTTTGAAAAAACTTCTTCTGAAAAAGAGTGTCCACACTGCCAAAGTGCATCAAAAAGGCGATTTGCTTTTTCAGAAGATAGCGTCCATTCAGTATGGATGCCATCTCGCATTTCAGTTGTGATTACTACGGACAGAGTGGCCACCAGGGCACCTGTGCTTTTTCCTCTTCCCTCTTCTTTTGAAAAAACTCCCTCTTCCTCATCCACACATGCCTTTTTGCAAAAGAGTTTTTTGGGGGAAAGGCTTCTTCCTTGTAGAAAGAGGTTTACCGATGTCAGAAAAACCCCTCTGTTTTTTCGATTCCCTTCCTTCCCCCCCGCCCCGCCGAAAGAACGTGATTGCAGTATGGATTTAAGTGAAGTTTTTTCGGGGGAAAAAAACCTCTGTAGTGTAGACATAGCCTGGGAGTTGACTTGGGATCAGTCATTTCTATCCTAGGACAATGACTTAAGCTGAATTCAAACCAGTCACTCATCAATAATCACATGAGGGCTAACCTTGCAAACAGGTAAGGGAACAGCTGTTGCTCACATGAGTAGTCTCAGGAAGCCTTAAGGACTACTTATATGCATAAGGGTTTACACAATCAGCTTCCAGGGAGGAAAGATATGTAGTGTTGTTTAGTATCCCTGGAAAAAAATCAGTGTGTACTTAGCCTAGTCTTCTCAGGAATGGCACTTCCTACTTGCTACCCTGCAGTACATACTACCAGCACTTCCAGACCTCTTCCTTTTAATAGGACCAGTACTTAAGGGAAACGCACTTTACATCGTCAAGTACTCAAGGGGGCAACCTTAATGAGCACAAAATATTCATCTCTAATAAGAACACACTGTCATAATCACCCTCCATGTGATAAATAGATTATAGGGTTTGCTCTTTTTACCCTCATTTTTTGTTAGTCTAATGCTTTTTTCCACATGATAATTTAACTAATTCTCTAAAACCAAATCACAAGCTATCAGGACCCAGTATAAGTGGATTTTTTTTAAATGTTTTGAATCTTGGATTAAACAAGTCTTCTCCAAATAAATGCTCCTTTTTTTAGCTGGCGCTGAAGATTTTGTTGTTCCCAATAATCAAACTCCCAACTGGTTAACTTCTCATCTAACGCAACGGCTTCCTATTTCATTTGAACAAAATTTACCATCCACAAGCAACGACAGAAAATGTGTGAATGTCTAAAGCTTATGTAAATTAAGAGGCCATGCACACTGGTCCTAAAAATAGTAGATAATTACAGGCATTTCTTCACTATGCTATAATTATGGGCCTCCTGTCATCCCTCTATTCTTTAGAAGGTCACAGTAGTAGTATACAAAATTTACAGTATATTACAAGTTAAAAACACAATAATTAGCAACTGCGCATCTTCAGCACCAGTGATGAATGTTCACAGTAAATGTAAAAAAAAAATTATTTGCTTTATATGGACAGTACACACTTAAATTTAATCATCCACTCCTGCTATCTTGTGGGCAATATTCTCTCACTATTATAATGCTATTTGCCAAGATCATAGTACACCCTTGGGCTGAATTCATCCTTAATGAAGAAACAAGGAGCCAAATATCCCACTATCACATCAGCAATGTACACCTTAAATATATTCCTTTAAAAATCATAATTCTGTATAACTTCAATAATAATGTCTAGGAGACAGGGAGAAAGGACTAAGTATTATGTTGATCATTGTAACAAACGTGATCATTGTAACAAAGTTAATATTCAGAAAATGTACATCACAAAAAGTGTTTAAATTGGAAGATCCTCTAATTAAATTCATATGTTTCAGCTTCTTTACATGCTTGAATTTTAAAGGAGTACAGAAATCATACATGCCCAACTCATAAGAACTGTCTTAAGGAAACATCAACAATTCATTTGTTGTGTTGTATTGCCCCATTCTCTCATGTCTGACTATGAAGATTATTTTATGGAGCATGCATCTTTTCATTACAGGGTTTACAGTCACAAGTAGGAAGGCATAATCTTTTAGATTGTGTTCATAATATGTGTTTATAGTGCCTTCCATTAGAGGATCTCAAGCGTTAATGGATTAAGCATCGCATATCACTGGGAGGTAGATATTATCCCCATTCCACAGATGGGGAAACTGAGGGATAGAACTATTAAGTGACTTGTTCAAAGTCTCAGAGCAAACCAGAGGCATATCCAGGAATAGAACCCAATTCTCCTGCTTTGACCATTACACCATTCTTCTCATTTACTGTTGTATCCCCAGATCATGACTGCAGAACTGCACCACAGAAAAACTGACCTTAAATTCCCCCCCCCCCCAAAAACCCTTCCTGTTGGAAAGTGCAGTAGTCTTACATCATTGACAAGATGAACAGACCCCTGGGACTGAAGAAAGTAAGCCACAAAAAGGATCCTCACCCAAAACATTTGTCTTAGCTGACTTTGGACCACTGAAACAAACAGCTCTAGAGATTTTAAAAGAGGACAGGTCCACCCTCTGTGAAAGCATTCCCCACCTTTCAGGGATGATGTGAGGTGTTGCATACACCTTTTTGAGTACACCCAGGTGCCTGCTGTCTTAGCTCCCCGTGTCTCCTGCAGGTTGTCAATTTATTTCTTGCAAGTCTCCTCTGGGTCAACCCTCTGGCCAGGCTACACAGTTTAAACCCCTTCTGGGGTACAAGAAACTCAGCTGGAAATTCCTTGACCTGCTGAGCCATGTATAAATAAAATGTTTTTCCTCCCTTCTAAGGCTTCATTCCCTCTGAGGAATTAAATCAGTAGGTTCCTCCTGAACTCCTGCTTTCAGCGGTAGCCAGTAAAGTTTAGCCTTGTCCTGGCCTAGGGAGCCTCTCTCCTTACTCAAGCCACAAATTGTCTTTTTAGCACCACGCAGATGCTTTTATTTCAGGTTGCTGGGTCTTGACTGACTGTTGTTGTTCCCCAACCCTTCTAGTTGCTGGAGAACTAGTTCTCTGGAGTCCACAAAGTGGCTGCTCCCAGGATGCTTCTCTAGGCAAGCCCAGAAGTCCAATACTTGCTTCCCAGGCCATGTCTACATTACAAACTTGCAACACCAGATTTCCGGACTGACGGGTAGCAATCTACCACAGGAGCCATTGTGATGTAAGTGTTCAGTATCATTAATCACATTCTGCTGTGCAGGACACAGCCGATAGATTTGCAGCAGTGGACCTCCAAAATTGCAGTAACAGACATCATACAGTTCCCTATTTTGGCGCCTGACCACCTTAGCACTGAGTACATCACCAGAGAGGGCGAGTTTTCTATGATTAGTCAAGCATTGATGGATCACAAGGGACACTCCACAGACATCAAAGGAGGCTGGTCAGGAAAGGTGCATGATGCTTGCAGCTTTAAGAGGACATGACTTTTCAGAAAGCTGTAAGAAGAGACTCTGTCCTGAGTGGTGCATGACCACTGGGATTTTTGAAATGATCCAGGGCAATGCAGCCTAGTCCTTGCTCATGAAGCCTAGAACTGGACACTTTTACAACATCAAGGAATGATTCAGCTACCGCCTCAGCAGACGATGAATGACAACTGACCATGCTTGTGGTCATTTGAAAGGATTCTGGTTTTGTTTAGGCACAAGACTGAACCTTTCTGAGAAAAATATCCCAACTGTTATGGATACCTACTGAGTCCTGCATACCTATGAAGCAATGGGGGCGAGGCGGGGTAAGGGTGGAGGGCAGAGGTGGATTTGCTCTCTGCTGAATTTGATTGGCTCAATACAAGGACTATTAGAAGAATTCCATATAGAGTTATATGGCTCAGGAAGACTATGAAAGATCATTTTAACAGCAAACCGTGTACTATGTGGTGAGTGTGCTCTCTACCTGGCCCTGCTCTTACATGCCTCAGGAGGAATTATAATGCTATTGCTCTTCACATTGGAATATAATTCAAGATATCTAGATCAGGAGTGCCAGCCTCAGGGCAAACTGTTAAAAAATTTGGGGCTTGTGCCCTGTTGCTTATGTACAGGGCTCACCAAACCGTGGTGAGCCACGCTCACCAGCTGCGCTGTCCGGCGATCTGCGCATGCACAGATCACTCGAACCCTGCTGTTCCAGGTTGCAATCTACCCGCCACAGCCAAGTAGATTGCATTATTTGTCGAGCCCTGCTTATGTTTCACTTAACCCCGCATCTCAGACAATGCTTGTAGGCAATTCTGTAACACACAAGATTTACTAACTAGAAATAAGAACTGAACATTATTTACAAGGTTAAAGCAGGTAAACAAGGGAAGTTTTAAAACCTAGGATTGTAACATAAGCTGCTGTGACATGCAAGGTCTATATGTCCTTTAAGGCTAATCCAAGCAAAACTGCCAAGGACCCCTTGCTGATGCTCACAAGTCTTGCCCTCTCCCTGAAGTCCAAGCAGCACAGACATAACTTCTTGACAGGGCTTTTTATTTTCTTCCTCAGAGCTCAAGCTGAGGAGAGAGTTTGTGCAGGTCTCATCTGAGAGTGTGGCGAGAGCAATCCAAAAAGTGTTTTGTGCACTGCTGCTCCACAGTGGCTTGTCTAGTATCTATAGACCATTTGCTGGAGAGAAGATGGTAGCTCTTGTGATAAACTAAAATTCAGTCAGTAAAGGCTTCTTGCCTGAGTGTGGGGGATTTACAGTCTTAGAGCAACTACTTTACAGAGGAAACACTAGTATTACTTTAATATCTGCATCCCATGTTCCAGGCTAAGAGTAATTCACACAGCACCCCATGGCTGTGCCTACACTGGCCACTTATTCCGGAAAACCCCTGGTGTCATTTGGACAGCTGAGGGGGTAGGGAGAGGTACTCATAGTGAGTTCTCAATGAGCTGTAGAGGGAGGCACACCTGAGACACTTGCACCGGCAGGTCCACCAGAGTCTGCAGCATCTGTTTGCTATTTGGGAAGCCCCATTCTGTCCTGGTGCATCTGCCTCTCCTGCTGGAACTTCTTGGCCTCTCTTCTTTCCCCAAGGGGTTCACAGTGTTCATCCTCCAGGTCCTGTGCTCACAGTCTGATGCAGCATGGGCTTGCAGGATCTCACTGAACTGGTCATCTGGAGTCCTCTTCTTCCTCTTTATCTGGATGGTGTGAAGGCGAGATCCAACGGCCATAGTGGCAGCAGCTGCAGATAAAGACAGAGGCACCACTGTCAGCATATTCACTACAGAAAGTGAAATTTAAGATGCTGAATTCAATGTCCTTGCTCCTCTAAAGCAGCAGTTCCCAACCTTTTCCAGATGGGGACCCATTCTGACAATTCAGGAAGACTTGTTGACCCAAGGCAATTCAAAAATGGGGGGAGTGAAGAGGGCAGAGCCACCTGGGGAGACACTTGGTGACCCTTTTGAAATGTAATGGCAAACCATATTTGGGTCGCAACCCATAGGTTGGGAAACCCTGCCCTAAAGTTGTAAGCACTGTCTTCTTTCTTCTTCTTGGGATTGCTTGTGCCTGGCACCAGCCGCAGCAGCAGACATGGAGGTATGGCCCCCTGGAGGCTGGAGAAAAGAGGAGGGAATTGCTTAGTTGCATGATTCTAGTAGCATAGGGCAATGGTGATATGTTTTCCACAGGCACTGGTGGTACCAGCTAAAAAGCTGACCTCGCTCCTGAGAGTAACAAAGGTAGAGAAAGCCAGGCTCACTGGCAGGAACGGGCAAAGGATGGCAGTTGCCCTGGGGCCTGGCGATTCAAAGGGACATGGGTTCCTGGCTGCTTCTGCAGCAACGGCAGCAGCCACAGCTCCCGGCTTTTTTAATCGTCGCTGAAGCACCATGCCATGTGCTCCAGGTGGCTCTGATGGCCGGGGGAGGGTGTGGCTTGGAGCACTGGCTGCCCCAGTCCCGCCCATTCTGGGAGCATGGAGCTGGGGATCCCTCCACTTTCATCAGGGGCCTGCGGGGTTGTCAGCTCCCCTGGAGAAAGCCCAGCTGCTGCTGGCATCCTGGGATCACTAGGCCCATATGCTGCTAGTCTGTGTACTGCAGTGGGACCTGCTGAAGTTATTGGCAAGTGGAAATGGGAAAGTGCCCCGAAGAGGAGGAAATAAGGTCGCCCTCCCTACAAACCTTTGGCAGAGCACTGCAGAGTACCTCCATGGAAGTTTCATTAAGATCTCTCAGGAGGATTCCAGGGACATCCCACATACGTAAATTACACAACATGCCCTTCTCTCCAGTACCTCCATCTAGAGGGGAATGGGGAGAAGACAGCAACTCTGCCTCTCCTTGCTCCGAGAAACACTGAAAAGTCCAAAGTTGTGGTCTGCTATTTTGGGTGACTGAAAACTTATCTATGTGTTTATCTGAGGTTTCATCTTCTGCACTGGGCTGGCCTATGCTTGACTGGCTGAACTGTGATGGAATAAAAAAATCCTAATTTGTTGTGCAGCTGGATTCCAACCCCTTCCCAACATCTCTGCCTCCTCTTCCTACTGTTCCTACCATTCCTTGGTCAGAAGTTGCCTCCTCATCCACCTCCTCTCTGTTTACAGCAGGGGCCTGCAATCTGTGGTGCTGGGTGGGAGGAGCCTCCAGTGCGTACAGCATGCAGCTCTTTTTAAAAGTGGTAGAGGCCTGTGGCTCAGCACCAGATCAGTTGTTGGACTCCCTGGCATGCTTGCTGCAGCCCCTTGGCTTTCCAGCAGCACTGCTGCTGATATACCTCCACTTTTCCTACATCCCCCAAGCAATCTGCTCAGAGATGTCGATGTTTCTAGGATTGCTCTGGAGTTCTGCCTTCACAGCCTCTTTTCTCCACAGGCCCAGGAGATCCAATATCTCTCAACTACACGCAGGAGAGCATCTGGAGCAAGTAGCCAGCACAGTCAGCTGGACAGCTGCACTCAGTGGAACACTACAAGGAGCGCTCTCCAGCTTGGGCAGTCAAGAAAAAGGAGTTTCAAAAATTTCCAGGATTTTGAAGGGGACAGAGGGTTTTGGTCCTGTTGAGGGGCGACCTACTCATGGAAGCCTCTCAGGTTTAATCCCTTTAATGGTGCAACTTGGCCTTCCATAGGCCCGTTTTCAAGACTCTCCAATGGTCTCAGTCGGTACCTCTAATCTCCGTACTCAGGGTAGAATGGTTCAGGGGCTCAAGTCTGTACCCAAGTCATCTCTGCTAGGGGTAGTACGGCCTAGTGGCCAGAATCCATTCACAAGTCTCCTCTAATAGGAGTAATACGGACTAGTGGTCAGAGTCTATACACCCATCTCCTCTAATAGGAGCAATATGGCCCACAGGCCTAGTCCAGAGGCCTGTAGAGAAAACTTCACCCACATGGGCTAGCTACTGAGGGGGTAAGGGTAAGGGCCCTGTTGGCAGCAGTACAGACTATTGCCCGCTCAGTGGGGAATCCTGCTGTAACATGCTGAGCGCACAGAGAACAAATCCCCGCCCCGGTCTACTTCCTACCGTTCCTTGGCTGCTGCTGTGTGGTCTGGTGGCATCTGCGCCTCTGGATCCAGAGCTATCTCAGAACTTCCTTCCCCTTCCGCAGCCAGCCCAGACTGAGCTGCTCCAGGGGCCTTTACAGTCTGCCTCCACTTGGTGCATGCCCAGCAGGGCTGTGGAGGCGGGGCTCCCTCAGCCAGCTAGGCCAAGGCAACTCCCTGAGCTTCAGTGCAGGGTTGATACCCCCGTCACAGGTCTCCATAAGCCCTGGGCAGTGGAATTCACAGTGGAGGCCATCGCAGTCAGCGTCAACATAAGTAATTAAATTTCTTCACTGGCACTGCATCTGTCTAAATTCATCAACCATTGCTCTACACCACTTGGGGAGGGCTTATGCCACGTCAGAGTTAGGGAGCACTTGCATGGGTGGGGGGCAAATTTAAGTGTATGCACATACACAATTAGGGCAACATAAGCTGCCTTGCATCAACATAGTTTAGACAAGGCCTCAGAAAGCTGTTTCCTGGGAGAAATGAAGCACAGCAGCAGGAGGCCATGAAGGCCAGGCATATTCCTTCAGAGATGGCAAAGGTAAGTGAACGTGTAACCCATGTCTGCTTGGTGTTGCACTCTGTCCCACTTTAGTGGCAGCTAGACCATCTAGCTCAATGGTTCTCAACCTGCTGCCCACTTGCAACCCAATCAGCATCCAGCTGTGTGCCATGTGACATCCTCAGGCCCATACAGGCAGCATATATATATTTGTTGTGTGGGCTCACAACAGAGAGCTGCATATGCAGCCCCTATGGAAAATAGGTGGAGAACCACTGAACTAGAGATTGAGTATATTCCAGCCTTAGTTCAGAGCAGGTGGCCTATGCAGTAGAGGCTCATACACTAAGGTCCCAGGTTCAATTGCCTTGATGTTATAAGCATCCGGCTTCCATGACTGAAGTTATCAAAGTGTCTTTTGCAGAAGACACTCAGTCAGCTCTCCTAAATAGTTCTATAGTAAACCATAGCGCACACACATGACCTGGAAAACTACTGCCCTTTTCCCTTCCTCTTTTCTAGAGAAAGTGATAGTGACTAATAACATCTGTCCTCTTACTATTCTGGATTCTTCAAGGCTGAGACATGGCATAGGGACAGTACTACTAGTCTTAGTCTTGGATAATCCTCTGTGCTTCTGCTAGATCAATAGTGTTTCCATTATGGAGCCAGGAGATGCATACTAGACTTAGCAAGAATAAAGGACAAACACTTTTCTGGATCAACCTTATTCCTTTCTGGGAATTCTCAGAAAATATTAAGTGTACTGCTCCTTCACAAGGCCAATCACTTGTAGAAAACCACAAGGATTGGGATTCATTTCTCTTCAACAGACAACATGAGGCCACTTAGAAACATCAGGAGATGTTAGATTCCATTGCTAGCAGTATGCAAAAAGATGTACAGCTGACTTTTCCCCTCAAGAAAAGGGATCTTTTTCATCCCTAAGAGCCACTGGTTGGAAGAAATTAGCTTGATGCATGAAAAGTAGCTGTCTTACATTCAGACACTAAAAAACAAAACAGAGTAGTAGAAAGACAAACTTCAAGGACCTTATTGATAAAGGCTCCAGTTTTCCAAGCTGGCTTGTGTGGAGCTTATTGACTTCGACAGAGTTTTGTGAGGGCACAGAGATTGTGGTCATAGTAATCTCACCAGCAAGGGCTCTCTGCTTGTACACATAAGCATTTGTCTCAAGGGTATCCTAGATTTGTCACTGCGCCTAGATACATAGTAGAACAGTGGAAAGAAACACTATTTTCTCTCTCTCTTACCAGGAAGTGGGGCTTTTCTTCTCAGATAAGGATCTTTTGTAGTGCTCAAAGAATTCCTCTCCTCTAGAGCTTCAGAGGGGTAGCCAAGTTAGTCTGTAACTGGAAAAACAAAGAATAGTCTAGCACAGATGCTTCCAACCTTTTTAACCACAAGATCACTTTTTCAATATAAGTGCAATGTATGATCTACCTCAAACCCAAGTACCCTCTCCCCACTTCTTTCTTGCCCCTTCTTTGAGGCCCTACTCACTCTGTCCTCATTCTTCCCCCATCCTGACTCACTTTCACCAGGCTGGAGTAGGGGGTTGGGGTATGTTACTGGAGACCACCCAGGGTTACATTAGCATGGGTTTATTGTTAAACTAAAGAAGACAGAGCTGCCTCTAAAGGCATAAACTAAAAACGGGACCAGCTATCTCTCTCACACACAAACACACATCTTCATTCATTCATTCACATTCATTCCTACCCTCAGGCACTCACACACTTACATAGGCATATGGGTTGCAGAAGGAGCCAAGACATGTAGATTCTGGAGGGTCTGTCTGCTGATCATGGCTGGGGAGCTGGTCAAGAAAGAAACTGGCTGCTTCTTCTCAGAAAGAAATAGAGTTTCTGCCATGTGCTCTCTCCTTTTACAGCCTCTCTCCAACTTACAAACTGGTTATGGACCAAGCAATTGGTTGTAACTTGGTTCATTCGTAAGTTGGACCGCATTGAGTTCCACGCGACTGCGCTGTTCATAAGCGCGGATCGCATTTGTAACTCGGGGTCTGCCATTTACGACAGTTTTGGTTGTAACTGTGAACGGTCGTAAGTTGACCGTTCGCATCTCAGAGACCGGCTCTATCGCCTTTGTGCAACCCCTGTGACTCATCCACACTTGTCACCAAGGAGCATGCCAGACTTCCCTTGATCCAGTAGAGCAGCAGTCTCCTTAAATGGTCTGATGACTCATCACAGTAAATCTTCTCACACACACACCCCCGTCCTCAGGGGAGAATGCAATTTAAGCAAGTTACAAGCAAAGCTGCTGAGAGTTACAAAGTTGCAAGTTTTTACAAAGATTACATAGTTGCAAGGTTTAAGATCATAAGGAGTTGCAGAGTTTAAAAAGCAATGCAGTTGAAACAATTACACAGCTTCAAAGAATTATTTACAAATCAATAGGGGACTTAGAAAACAACTCCCCTCTCCCCCAGCAGTGCAGTCAGCAGGAGGTTTTTGATAGTCTCTAAGTCGTGTGTTGGCAGGACCTTACAGTTTAGTGTATTTCCAGAAAATCCATGTGTAATAGCTTGGGTGGAGGCTTTTATGCAATAGGGTTCAGGTTCTGGTCTTGGCCCAAGGGGTTGGGAGTGTGAAAGGGCCACTGGACTTAGCCCAGGGTGGGGGAATTGGGGCCCAGGAGGGGGTTCAGGGTGCAAGCTCTGGGAAGGAGTTTAGATGCAGGGGGACTCACGTCTGGGGCAGGAGGTTGGGTGTAGAAAGAGGTTCAGGGCTGGAACAGGGGTTCAGGAAGCAGGCTCTTGATGGGGCACTGTTAAACTGAGATGGCTTCAGGGTGGTGGAGCAGTGGGGTTAAGGCAGACTTACTCCTGCGCTGGCCCTGCACCACTCCTGAAAGCAGCTGCGTGTACAGCAATGGCTCCATGGCACCCTGTGCTGCCCCTCATCTAGAGGCATGGAGCCCACAGCTTCTACTGGCCACGGTTCCCTGTTATTGATCAATGGGAGCTGCAGGTACAGTGTCTGCAGGCAAGGACAGCATGTGGAGCCCTCCTACTCTATCTTTCTCAGGGGCTGCAGGGACATGCCAGCCACTTCCAAGAGCAGCAATTACCACAGGGATAAGAGAAGGTTACTCATCTTGCTGTAACTGACTTTCTTCAAGATGAGCATCCCTGGGGGTGCTCCACAGTAGTTGTAGGTGTGTCCCAAAGCCTCAGAGTGGATTTTTGATAGCAGTGCACTGGGGCCATTCATGCACAGCGTGTGGTGCACGTGGGGGACCCCGCATCATCACACGTGTGCAGCCACTCTCCCTTCAGTTCCTTCTCTATCTAGAACCCTGTGTAGGAGAGGCTTTTCCCCCCCTTGAAGTAGAGGGGTGGACGGGAGGGTAGTGGAGCAACCCCAGGGACGCTCATCTCGAAGAACATCAATTACAGCAAGGTGAATAACCTCCTCTTCTTCTTCAAGAGACATCCCTGGGAGTGCTCCACAGTAGGTGACTGCAGAGTAATTTGTGTTAAGGAGGTAGGGACTTCAGATCAGGTAGGTACGCTGTTTGCAGTACGGCTTTTGTTTCTCTTGTGTACTGGAGAGGCCTGGAGGAAAGTGCATAGTGCTTCACAATAGTGTGTTCTGATGCCCATGTAGTGGCAGCACATATGTCATTTATGGGAACCTTCCTCAGGTAAGCGACCAAGGTGGCAACCACTCTAGTTGAGTGTGTCCAGATTGAGATAGGTGGTGATAGATGACTGAGCAAATAGCACAAGGAGATAAGTCAGGAATCCAATGCGATAATATGTGACTTCCTTTGTTGCATTCAGCAATGGCAACTATGAGTCGTGATGATCTGAAGGATTTTCTTCTGTGGATGTAGAAGGAGAGCACCCTTCGGACATTGAGAGTATGCATCTGTGCCGCAAAGGCATTGACGTGAGGCTTTAGGAAGAATACAGGTAAGTGTATCATTTGGTTTAGGTGAAAGAGGGAACACATCTTTGGTAGAAACTTGGGGTACAGTCGTAAAGAGACTTTGTCCTTAAAAAAGATGGTAAACAGTGGGTCCGCCATTAGGGTGGCCATATCACCTACTCTACAAGCTGATGTTATTGCAACTAGGAATGCCATTTTTAGAGTTAAATGGAGTAGAGAGCATGTGGCCATGGGTTCGAATGGAAGTTTCATGAGCGTTGTCAGTATCAAGTGTAGATCCCATGGTTCCAGGGGAGTGTTAATGTTGGGTTATGGGGCTTGTAGGCCTTTTAGAAAGTGCTTAGTTATAGGATATGCAAACACTGTGGTGTCATAACTGGTATGTGAAAGGTTGTTATTGCTGCAAGATGGACTCTGAGCTCAGGGAAAGTTGTGATTGCTTGAGATGTAGTAGGTAATCGAGGATTGTAGGAAGAGGTGCATACTGTGGTGATACATTGCGGGAGGCTTCCCAATGTGCAAAATGAGTCCACTTATTAATATATGTCTTTCTAGTTGTAGGGGCCCTGCTGTGTAAGAGGATGTTTCACACCTGTTGTGAACATTGGAATTCTATGCCTGTGAACCATTGAGGTACCATGCTTTGAAGTAAAAAGTAAGAAATTGAGGGTGAGGAGTATTGTTTCCTATTTGGGATAATATGGTTGGACTGTGTGGAAGGGAATTTGGGCGATATCAGGCCATTCTGTTCAGGAGGGGAAACCAGGGTTGTCAGGGCTAGCAAGATGCTATTAAGATCACTCTCACTTTGTCCCTCCGTATCTTGATGAGCACTCTGTTGAGGAGAGGAAGGGGAAGGGAATGTGTAGAGCAATGGCGCATCCCATTTGAGGATGAGAACATCTCTGAGAGAGTGTTTCCCCATGACTGCCCTGGAGCAGTACAGTGGGCATTTCTTGTTCGTGTTGGTGGTGAATAAATCTATGTGGGGTTGTCCCCAACATGTGACTATATCCACCAGGACTGAACTGCCGATTTCCCACTCGTGGTCTTGGAGTAGAGTTCTGCTGAGGGTGTCCGCTGTTGTATTTAGGACACAGGGGAGGTTGCAGGCACTGATGGACATGCTGTAGGTGAGGCACCAGTTCCAGAGTGTTATGGCTTCCTTGCTGAGAACCTGGGATCTTGCCCCTCCCTGCCTGTTTATATAAAGCATACAGGCTGTATTGTCCATATATGTTCTGACATGGGTTCCAGTGATGTGGAGAAGGAAGTGCTGGCATGCCAGCCATGCAGCCCTGAGTTCAAGGAGACTGATGTGTAGTGTCCTTTCTGTTATAGTCCATAGGCCTTGGGTTGTAAGTTCTCTCATGTGCACTCCCCAATCAATGAGAGAGGCGTCTGTGGTGAGAACCACTGTGGGTTCTGGGTTTTGAAAAGGTATGCCCCTGCAAAGGTTGCACGGTTTTGACCACCATAGTAATGATCTCTTTACTACGTCTGGAACTGACAGCGTTTTGGTCATCAGGTGGATGTTGGGTTTGTAGGCAAGTCTGAACCATCCCTGAATACACCTCATGAATAGGTGTGCGTTGGGGACCACAAGGTTGCAAGATACCATATGACCCAGCAGTTGTAGACAGTTGTGGGCTGTGACAAGTGGCATTATGCAGAGTGAATGAGCTAGGTGGCTGATCCTGAGGAACCTGTTTGGAGGTAGGGAGGCCATGGCTGCGGTGGAGTCAAGATGGGCCCCAATTAATTGAATCGACTGGGTGGGTGTGAGCACTGACTTGCTCTCATTTATCAGAAGTCCTAGTGATTGGAAACAGAGTTGGACCAGATAGGTACAGTGGTAAGAGTCGTGTCTGATTCTTGCTTTGATGAGGCAATTGTCAAGGTACAGATAAATGGTGATGCCACACTTCCTGAGGTGGGCTGTGATCATGAAAACCCATGGTGCCATGGAGAGTCCGAAGGGTAGGACTGTATATTGGTAGTGTTGTGAATCTAGGGTAAAACAAAGAAAATGTCTATGAGCAGGTCATATGGACACATGAAAATATGCGTCTTGTACATCGAGAGATGAAAACCAGTCACCGAGCTCCAGAGCGGGGATAATGGTGGCTACTGTGACCATTTTGAATTTTTGTCTTTTGACGAATTTGTTTAGGGCCCTCAAGTCAAGAATTGGGCACCAGCCACCAGTTTTTTTCTGGATGAGGAAGTAATGAGAGTAGAAGCCAGTCCTCTGAAACTCCGGCGGAACTGGTTCTATGGCTCCTAATTGTAGTAGGTGATCTACCTCTTGTTGAAGTATGATCTTGTGAGAGGGGTCCCTGAAGAGGAGGTGGGTGGGATGGCAGAAGAGAGAGGAAGGGGTGGTGTAGCAGAAGAAAATTGTCTGTATCACCCACTTGTCGGATGTGATG